CCGGGGAGCGGCGGGCGCGGCGCCCGCGGCCGTGCGTGGCCACGGGCAGCGCGACCCGGCCACGGCCCTTGATGGGCAGATACGCGGGGTCTAATAAACCTTAATTATATCCCCGCTTTCGTGTGCTGTCGGTGTCTTGAAGTGTTTGCGGTGAGCGGTGTTGAACACCCGTCTGGTTCACCCAGCACAGCTGGGCTAAATCCTGTATCCCCAGGCCTTTCACTGCAGAGCTTCCCCAGCCTTTTTGGCTCCTGCTTCTTTGAAATGTTCCTCAGTGTAATTAGCGCAGGGAGGGCTGGCTGCAGCTCCACGCGGCTTGATAACAGCTCAATGACAAGCACATCGAGCCCAGTATTGAGCCTCGCTGATCCCTTTTTCCTCTTTGTTTGAAATAGGACACACTCTAACCTTGATCTCTGAGGAAAACAAACAGTCTGTCAGACACTGACCAAGAATAGCACGAGCTGGCTGACGGCTCGGCCGCGAGTGGACTTTGACCCTCCAGACAGTTACCAGGCTGGGCTATTTATTCATGTTAATCAGACGCTACCTGCAATCCTGACGTCTCGGTGGTGTCAACAAGCTGGATTAGAAGTGTCTTCTCGGAAACTGCCAGGAGAATGGGCTGTTCTAGCATCTGAAAATGACTCAAATAACTTTGTAAAATTACTATTTTCAGTAAGTTTGCCCAATGTGTTTTCCAGTAACCTTACTAGTCTTATTTAAGTGTTTTTGGTTTTTTTGAGGGGTGGGGTTTGGGTTGGTTCTGCTTTTTTATTTTCTAAATATGTGACTGGGAAATTCGACCAGTGGCTCTGAGTACATAAATAGCTTTGCTGTTTTGCTGTTCGAAAGTCCAGAACTTTGGGCTCGCCCCTTTATCTTTTTTTTGTTCCCTGTGTCTCGAGCAGACTATTTTAAGCTCCGGTAGCCAGCCAAGCGACCCGTTTATCTCCTCGCCACGCTGCCGCCTGGCAGCGCCGTATCTTATCCACCAGGTTTGCGAGTTGGTTCCCTGTGGGCTCGGGGTGACTGCCAGGCAGGTGGAGAATCCTGCCTTCCAGCCGCAGGAAGGTGGGAGGGGACGTGGGAATCTTGCCTTTGGATGCGTATGTATAAAAAGTATATGGAGAGTCTGATTTAAGTGCAGTCCTGTGGATGTTCCTGCTGCTTTTGTGTTTAAGTGGTGTGGGAGGTTGGCATAAACAGGATAATGTAACAGAGATTCGGTGCTGCAGGTGGTGCCAGAAAATACCCTGTACTCAGACTGAGCTCAACTCACCGGTGTTTTCTTGGCATCTTGAGCAAGAAGGGAGTGTTGAACTGGCTGTTGGGGTGCGAGTTGGCAGACGTCTGGACACGGGCTCGGCGCAAAGCGCTCTCCGAGTCCGACTCGCAGCACGCGGGCGCGGAGCGCCGGGCTCCTCCAGGGAACGCTCCTCGCCAGGTGCTGTGCGAGCGGCTCATCCCGCCTCATCCCAGCGCAGCGGATGGGTAAGGAGCGCGGCGCATCCCGAGTGCCTGGGACCGGTGTCGCAATGCTGGAGCTGCCGGCGGATTCCGGCAGCAAAGCCCGGAATCTCTCCAAGGGCGAGCGGGAACGTTTGTGGGACTGACCCAGGGGTCTTGGGACAACATGTTCAAAAACTTCTCAGGCATCTCACTTCTGCTCCCTGTTTGGCAAGTGAGGTGACAACAGAAAAACGGCTTCTTGGGGCAAAAGCTAGAGAAGCTGCTGCTTTGCTGTTGCTTTCGACATAGTTTGCAATAACGAGCCAAGTGGAGGGCGCTGGGTTTGCACACATGGAAGCAAAGCAGAATCGGAGTTTTTAACTTTCTGGCACAGTGTAAACAGGCTGCTGCTTTCTGGCCTAGAAACTAGTTTCCTGAAAGGGATGTGCAGCTGTAAACTGATGCTGTTAGTAACCTAGACGGCCAGATTTTCCCAGAAATGAAACAACTTCCTTTTTGCAACACCTCCACAAAGTACTAGTATTGCCTAGCCAAAAAACAATCCAAACCATGAGAAACGACAACCGCTGTCAGCGCCGAGACTAAAGGGGCCGTTTGAAATCCTCCCCTGGCAAAGTCAAGGCCACCGTTGCCTCTCTGTTTTCCTGTCTCTGTTCTACTGTAGTTTCCTAGTGGAAACTGCAGAAATTGTAACTTAGATGCGTGTTCAGAATGAAAGGGGATAAACAACTGAAAAATTCACAGCCAACCACAAAAGAAATGTTCAAGTTTCTCAGCTATTTGATCTGCCATGATTTACTGTCTCCTTTTCTTCCCTGCATAAGACCCAGGAATGGGAAATACAGGGGGTTTTTGAATGTTGTTCATGGGAAATAAGACAAATTGGTGAGAGGAAGGAATGTAGGACAAACCCAAGGAAAGAAACACATCTTCCCACAGAGATATAGAGAACATGCTGCAAAGGATTTCTATTTAATCCAGTGAAATTTGGGCTAAGGGGTAATCATCCAGCAGGCAGGAGATCTGACAGCATGGCACTATCTTAATCTAAGTAACTTGTCTTCCACGCTGGCACTTACTCGTCCTTGTTAAGCAATCACAGAAAACTGTAGCTTCTAATATCCATGTTTGTACTTGCAGTTTAACTATATTGTAGTTCATATCGTAGCTTTGTGCTTGTAGGAACTTCAAGCGTGCTCTGCAATCTGACAGGAATAACCGATGGGGTCTTTATGATGTTACTTTTTACAAACCCAAAACAGTTTTTCCTTGCGAGATGCAGCCTCCAGGGCTACATCTGAGTGTTGGACAGGAACAGCGAGGAAGAGGAGCAAGTACAAGCAGGGAAGGCCCTTGCAGTCTGCGATCTCAGATTTACACTTCTCCTGATTTTGTTACGTTTATAAGATGAGAGAATTTAAGATAAGAAGTAAGGGTTCATTTTAGCTTCTTTTTCCCTGGACTTCTGCAATCTCTATTTTTTCAACCTAGAAAAGTTTAAGACTCCCCTTAATTACAAACTGCCTATCTACTTCAACAACTACACGGAGCAACTCAGTTTCCTCCAGAAAATCCCTGCAGCAAGCTCCTCTCCTAACGTGGGATTAGCGGGCTGGAGGTTATCACCTCAACTACACGTTAGGATCCCGGGAGGAAGAGGGCTATTACTTAGAATGTACAAAACTTCCACAAACCATCAGTGAAGCATCATGTCTGCTGTGTAACTGCTTTGCCTCCAGAAGGAAAGGTTGAACAACTTGCTTATGATTCTTTAAAGCATCGCGACTGAGGAGCAGAGCAAAAGGAACGCACAAAATAAACCAAGTAGGGCAATATTTCCCCTCAGCTGACAAACCCGAAGCTGCATATACTGCAAACGTCACAGAGCTAAATGAGGTTACGATAAAGATCAAAAACCATATGACTTTGGGCCACCTTTCACATGCAAATACACCACGGCATCCTGGTAACATGTTAGGTTTTAAAAAAGGAACAGTTGGCACATCTGCTTAACTGAGCAGACAAAGTACAAGTGGAAGGAAAGTCAATCATTAGCTCATTAGATAGGCCTTGAACCAGATCGCTTTGGCAGATGCTAACTTGGTAATTCTCCCTTGCTCCAGCGTGAACTTTGTCCCTGTGGGGACTGACAGCTGATGCAACGATAAGGGGATGGAGTCTATAAAAATGGAGCTGCGGCTCAGCAGTGTCTCTGGAACTCTCGCCGCCCGGTGCTGGTCCTATGCTCGCAGCGGCAGCCTGTGCGGTGAGGATGCAGTGCTGGAAAGCCCTGGCTCTCTTCTTGCTCTGTTCACTGCTGCTCAGCCAGGTAAGCGCAGGGAAGCCATCCCAGGGGCTAATCCACGCGGCCAGGCAGCTAACCAGGCGTGCGGGGATTTGCACAAACTGGCGGGGGCGGCAGGGGACAGCACAGGGCTGGAACAAGCAGAGTAACCGCCTGTGAACACAGGGCTACGCTGAGACGAAACTCAACAAGTAATAGTGCCTTGTCTTGCAAGAAGGCTTTAAAAAATGGATGTTTCTATTTGAAGTGCATTTCTTTGGGGTGAGAATACAAGCAATGGCACCTTAACGGGCAATGCTATGAGCAAGGGGAACGATTTAAGGCCCTCTTGCTGAGAGCTCCCACGCGCGAATGAATGGGAGGGCGGCGCACGCTGACACTGCCCTCGGTGCCGTTGCAGACGCTCTGCGCGTCCCTGCGGCCTGCCCCGCCACCGCGTGACGCCCTTCTGGAGAGGGGTGGCGCTCCGGCCCGTCGGCGCCTCGTGTCGCGACAGCAGCGAGTGCGTCACGATGCTGTGCAGGTAACGCGCGGCCGCGCGGGACGGGACAGCCAGCCGGGGCCTCTCCTGCAGCCGCCGCAAACGGCGCCTGCAGGGCCACGGCCCCACAGCGCCAGCGCCCACATCACTTATCCTTCCAAAAGGACACACGGGAGCCCAGACTGCTCTCAAGTGACCGCTTAAAATTAATCCTCCTTAAAGCCAACAGTGCTCATTTTAAAGCGTGTGTCATTTAATAGCTACTCTAAGCGCTCACTTGAATTCATAGTTTGAGAGCACTAAACCATCAAAATCAAATATTCATCAATCCTCGTGGAAATTACACAAGCAGATTGCCCAGCCAGGTATAAATGAGCTGTGAGCAGTTTACCAAATTACTGCTTAGTGCCTGTGTGTGCGGCCCCAGCTGTATTCCTACCAAAAAGCAAAGGGAAAGGCACAGAATAGATGTAAATACAATGGGAAACGGCACATGACAGGGAATGCAGAGCCATCGCGGTGCCGGCTAACCCCAGTGAGCGGGAACAGCAGTTTCTTATCAGCGAGACAGGGATTTCCCTGGAGCAGACAGAGCTCCACGCGGTATCGGGATTTACCAGGCAAAGACCCCGAGGAGGATGAGGAGCAGCGGAGCTGATGCCCTTTCCTGTTGCAGGAAGAACCGTTGCTTCCTCAGGACGGCCAACGAGTGAGCTGCGGGTAAGGCCCCCGCTGCCGCCGTCCCCGCGCTGCTCCCCATGCGGAATATTTATTACTGACTGTTCAAACGCTAGGACACGGACTCAGCCCCCTGAATGCATTTAACACCGGGAGATGAGCTGGGGAAAGGACCTCAGAGCGCTGCAGGATGACTCTTTAGCCAACCTCAATAAAAGGACTCAGCAGCTTCTGGTCGTTTTGGTTTTGTAATTGTTCTTTTTTTATATATGTATATATTTTTTTATTTTAAATGTGTGAATTAAAAACTTGTATTCTGCAACTAACCTTGGTTTTCCTTGCATCCCGTTAGGAAAACGAGCACACACAAAGCACTCTCAAAAGAAGTGCACAGTGCAGGCTGGACTTTAGTCATTTATCCCGGCTCTGGCAGGCGCCCGAGGCAGATCCTGATCACGCCTCCAGCGCATTGGCTTTCAGCTCCGGAGCTGGGATCTGCACTGCAATTTAAATTCTGGGAATCCGGGAAAGGATGGGACAAGAGCAAAGACCTGGAGAGGATGCCAGCAGTGCTTCTGCTATTCCAAATCCACCAGAGTCAACTTTACACAAAAAATAGTTAACTACTTTAAAATACTTCTACTCAACCTTGCTTAAAAAAAAAATTCGGAGTGTGATTTTTTTTGTACAGAAATACTTATTTAAAACAGTTTGACGAATACCTGATTTTTGATGAGGGACATGTTAACGGAGAGGCCTGACAGGAGTGCAGCCCCTTCAGACTGGCAAATACTGACAGCTCCGGGTCCCCGAATACCGAAAGCTCTTGGCAGAGGATTAGGACCCAAGTCTGCTTAAACTGCACCACCAATGAGGAGAAAACCCACCTGAGAGATACAAGCACAGTGTTTGTAAAATTTAATACAGAAAATCTATTTGATATTTATTAAACTTAGTTTCTCCAGTTACAGTTTTGCATTGTACAAAGCATTTTAATGACACAGTAGTTAAAAAGATCTTTACAAATTGAAATGTGATACCCTTTTCTCCAAATATTTTAATTGCCATAAATTTGTTTAAAAATACACATTAAACGCATGTTTCAGACACTAAACTTTCTATAATCTCAATACCACAAAATACATAGAATATACTATACAGATGTGGAAAAAATCTAGTTAGTATATAATACTTTGCTCACCATTAACAGCTTTATTACGTGAAATGCACATACTGACTTAGAAATCCTAATTTTGAGCCCCAAAGTACCCTTTGAAATTTCAAATGTATTGCAACAAATAAAATCACAGTTTTTTTTTAGGTTTTGGTTGAAGACAGATGCCTAAATATTTTGATAGAAACAAAATGTAACACATGGACTTGTCATGTACAAAGCATAGAACAGAGACATCCCATTAGTTACTAACAGTACCTTTCTGTATGATTCATAAGGGCTTCATTTATAAGTGACAGCTTAAAAGTTACCTTCCCCCACCCGCAAACCCTCCCCCAAAGAAAAACCCTTCTTCACCAAATAATAATTTCAAATAAGATAAAGGATTTTTAATAAATATATAAGCACTTTATCCTCCATATACAAAATTTCTTAAAACAATTTAAAAGGGGGACCAGATACAAACGTCAGTAACTGTGCTTGCAAAGCCCGGCCTGCTGCGCACGCCGCGGGCAGCGGGAACGCCGCTTCCCGGCTCCGGGAGCGGACGCTCGCGGCAGGAATGGGCACGCTGCTATGGAGCTTCCGGATGGAACAGAACAGGGAAAGCCTTTCCCTGGGGATAGCCTCGCTAACCTGCGGCGTTCCGGCCGCGCGGCAGCCACTGCCCTCCCGGCTCCCAGCACGGCGGCCTCCCCCGGCACCGGAGGCCGAGGCTGGACACACGGCACGATGCCCGGGCGGCTGGAGCCTACGGAGCCTCCGCACTCGGGAAACTTCTCCCCGGAACAGGTCTGCATTTGTCTGAGTTGGCTGGCAAAAGCTTTGGCTACTCTTTATACTTAAAAGATATCTAGCGTTAACTTTGTTGCTTGGGAATACGCAGTTTTCCATAACACTGATTCATCAGAGAAAGCAATTTAAGCCCTGACCAAAAATACTTGTCAGGAATGGAGTAATTTGGAAGTTGCTTATTCCCCTGTGGGCAATTCAAACTTGACTTGCTCAGGCCCTTTGTATCTGCCTTTATATAAACACTGCAGTGACAGTCAATATCTGTTAGGTAAATGAAATATTAAATACAGCAAAGGTAGTCTCTCTTTCCCCTAGTTTCCCATTTTGGCAAACTACATAATTATCTGCCTACGGCTTTATTTTACTTGCCCCAGGCAAGCACTACATTATTCTCATAAAGTCCTGACTCTCTGTATGTTGGGGCCATTCATAAATACATTTCAGGGCATTTTTTGTTATCACAGCAATCAAGCCTCAGCAATCTAAAGGAATATACATTGCACTCCTGTATAATATGCAAGATTTATCACCAATAAGATGGCGACTCAGCACTCAATAAATAATATATCAATATAGTCAGTTGCACCATAATCTAAAAACAAGTATAACATATACTTTGGACAGACTGAGTTCATATATATATATACATATATATTAAAAGACACATACAATACAAATTGCATACTGCCGTCAAAAGCCAAGAAGAGCCATCCATATGCTCTGCTTTATGGCTAATAAGTTTCAAATTAAAATAAAAGTCTTGGGCTGTTTTACTCTGGTGTCCTGAAGATTTATTTGTAATCATAAACGGTTGCACCTTCCACCTTCCAACAGTTCCACCTAGGAACCCGCAAGTTTGACAGCAAAACCCAATAATATGGATATCTGAGCAAGCCTAGTCTGATTAAGCCGTTTTTAAGGTTCCCCAAGGGGGCTGCGTTCGGGGAGGGAGCTCAGGCTGTGGGGCCGATGTGTGTTTCCCGGGCCAGCCCCTCGCTCGCGCGTTCCCGCTGCCGGGACGGTACCGGATGGGCCCCGGGGACCCGCGTCCTGCGCTAGCGACGGGGCGGGAGCGGGGACACAGCCTTTCTCACTGTAACAGTGGTAAATCCCAGGTGGGATATGCTTGGGAACTGCCCGATCTCAGTGTATCCATCTGCAACAGCCCCAGGTGAGTAAGGCCGTGCTTTTCCATTGAAAAATGCCAAGTATCCCCCATGGAGGTGGGAAAGCCGGGCCGGCCCGCTAGGATATCCTCCTGTGAAGGACACTGTTTGCGTGGGACACGCTCAACCAGCTTAGTCTGTGTTTTTAGACTGTAAAAAGCCTTCTGGTCACTTGAAGACTATTTTTTTTAAGATCCACTGATCTAGGGATAAGCGATACATTTTTAAGAGACCAATTTTGTATGACACCAAAAGGTATTTGTGGGACTCTAGTTAAGGAAAAAAAATTCCCAAAAAAAATTCCTGCTTACAGCAATGGTACCTGTGCACAAAGGAGCAAGCCAAAACACAGCCATGCTGGCTAGTGCAGCACTACACAAAAAATAAACTATGAATGCAACTTCTAAGAAGGTATTTTTACATAGCGTCAAAAGTGTGCTAGGCACTTTAGAGTATTAAAGAAAAAAAAAAAAACAGTTGACAGTGTCCCAATAACCAGGATGCAGAGTTTGAGGGTACACAGTTCCGTCTGGAACGGCAAACACTAAAAGAAACGTGGTCTTGCACAGTGATTCAGGAGAGAGGATGCTCCGACAGACCTGAATGGCAACAGGCGTTCGGCTGCGATGAGAAACGTCTCAGGTCTGTTAACTGTGTGTCAGTCTGTAGGTAGCAAAGCTTTTCTGGAAGTACAAAACGAGGTGGAACGCAAAGGAAGCTCTACGAATATGCAGCTACCTTTTAGCAGGTTACTAATCCGCGAAACTCCTAACCTCTTAAAGCCCATAGGACATACTGCAGTACTAAGGAGTGGAGAATTCTATTCCTTCTTTCGAGGTTGCCATCATTTTGGCACTTAACTACAACTACACAAAAATTTAGTGCAATAATTTTCCTGAACATGCACGTTCATATCTGGTACAGAATAAGGGGTTAAATGGGAGATAAAGCAGCATTCCCCCATCGCATCTCACGTACTCAGTTTGACCCTTCCAAAGGAGACCACTGCAATAAGGAGCCAGCTCGTATGACAGACACTAGTACTTTTAAAAAGGAAATGGAATTTTACCAAAGTACTGCAGAAGACCACTGCATACAGTATACCTGGTCCTGCTGTAAAACATCTTGTAAACAGTTCATAAAATCTTCATCTAAAAGTAAGGCATAAGGCACACCAGACATGTTAGGGGCACTAAGCAATACTGAAAGCAGTAGCATTTTAAACCTTTGACTCAGACAAGCACCTCACGTGGAAAGGTACTTTGGTTTGCACGTTTTAAGAGCAGTCAGCTGCAACTCCACCAATCACTTCTGTTGCACCAAGTTGCTTCCTCTAGAGGGAATATTCTGCTCCGTCAAACACACCAGACGGTAACGGGACCTTCATTAGCACGGGGTCAACACAAGCTGGGAGCCCGCTCTGTTCCGCGCCAGAACAGCGGGACCATTCCCTGCAAAGCAGGTGTGCTCCCACCCCCAACGGCTGTTGCACTGTCAAGCTGTAGTGTCCATTAACTATCAGACTCTAAAAGGAAAAAAAATGGACCTTAATTTCTGCTTAAGATTCCTGGTTTCTCAGTCAATGCAAAAGATACAAAGGACAGTTCTGGTAGGAATTCAGCTACTGTTGGTTTTCTAACCATCAAGTGGACTGATTTTCTAAGTATCAAAATCATGACAAGCAAGGAAACAAAACTTGTTTTGAATGAAGAGATACAAAAAAGCACAAGATTGTCCGTTTCAGAAACCTTTCCTGTATGCACCGCATCGCTCAGACTGGAGTTCATTCCTACACCATTACTCTGATAATACATTAAATGCAAATTACTGTAATGTTTTGTGATTGTTATAGTGTTAATTGTTGCTTTGAAACTGCCTTGAAAACAACCCAAGTCAGATCTGATTAAATATTTTCCATATAAATTTCTTTATAATTCTTTTAAATGAAGTATCTTAATACGTAGAAGAATATCTGGAACTTTTCTATTTAGTACAAATTCTGCAATAATAAATCTGTAGTTGTCATGTATTAGTTGACTCGTAGGCATTAGGCATGAGAAGTATGGTGCCCTACACTCGAGAACCTATCAACCCTATTGTACAGGCTCTACCACCACAAGACATTACAGAGTAACAAAGCTCACAAAGTACTTAAATAAAGTGTCTACGTTTAATTTCTGCTAAGTACTTGAAAGGGTAAATTCAGTGAAAAAATAGCTAAAATTGCCCCAAATTGGGCTTTTCAAAATTAAAAAAGATTAAAATAAATAGGATTTAAACTGGCTAGTTATGTATTGTGACTGGAAATCCAATGATCTATCCATGATAGATCAAGAAAACTACATTTTTATATGTAGCAAATTTTAAAATATTTAAATAACTTAAAATGGAATACTGAAGAAGTCCATTAACCAGATGATTTGGGATTAAAACACAAAACACATATGAGGATGGGAGACGTGAAAGCATTCCTTGCTCTTAGTGTCAACTAAGCAATGTGTTATGGCAGTCTTCCTTATTGACATGACACAGTGTTGTGGAGATAGATCGGAGGCAGCGAGAAAAACACGTTCTTTTTTCCATTCCTTCAGTTCAAAAGCTCACTTGGCATCCAGGCGCAACCAATGCAATCCCTGACGGGTGTAACGCACTAGGTCTGTCATGATGCTTGAATTAAAAATCAGAGGGCCCATAACTTTATCCAGTTCTGCAAAGAACTCTAAAATAACAAAAACACACGTTAAACTCTGCACATGTTTTTTCACATTGTCTGCTCTTGCCAAAAGTACCATGCTAAAAAACCCATTCTTTTCCACACAAATCTTTCAGGTTAGAAAGATGGAAGAAACGCAGTGTGGCAGAATGATGAAGGAATAATAAGAAATACATGTATACACATATATGTACCCACACACACAAGGTTCTTTCGAGTTGACATTACCACCCTTTTGCAACAGGCTGGTTGATAAAAATATTTAGAATAAGGTTATACTGCTGCAAAGCTTTCTCTAGCATTCTCCCTCCAATATGCATATTCCTTTGAACAAGAACTTCGGAACCTGAAGTGTATCAAGTTCATCTCAGTATACTGAGCAACCAGCAGGGAATGCAATAATGTTTTTTTTTTTCCTTCACAAGCAGCAAGGAAACACTGCACCTCCACCACCATCTGAGCAAGACCATGAGCCCAGGTCATTGCGAATGAGGGTACAACTTTCCAGCTCTCCTTTGCAGAGCACCCACTCAAGTACCCTGTGCACTGCTAATGTAACTCCAAAATTCAAAGCCTGTTAGCATGGCAGTACAACTGGGTGCAGCTGATTCTAGAACCTGCCTGTTGCAGACCTTACCTTTCTGTTCTTTCGACAGCTGTTCGGCTTGGTCCCAGATTTCGGTGGCGTAGAGGAAGTTGGAGGTGACTTGGACGTAGCTGGCTGCCATCTGATGGATCCGCTGGGGGATCGTCACCGAAGAGCCGCTTCCTGAAGGGTTGGCTGCCCCAGAAGAGTAATTTCCTGAATTCCCTGGAGACAGCTTTGGAGACACTGGAGACGGCATACCAACAGGCTTGCTGCTTAGCAAAAGAAAAGCATTAAAATGTATAAAATGTCTCCCTAGGTACTTCAGATGTATCGCGCTGCAAGACTCTAGGACTTCTCCTTCTGCATCTCAGAACCTGAAATGCTCAATCATTCCCCCTTTACCCAAGAAGTCAGCATTTGTCCTGCAACAAAGGAAATGTGTGAGCTGCCACAGCTATGGATCCTCCCACAGATACGCTTTGACCTCCTAGCCAAACCTCACCAAACCTCTTCATCTATTACTTAAAGTGTTCAAATAACATTTTAAATTCATTCACTGTTTAAATAAATTAAACACTAAATAATAACAAAAGAAAAACACAGATCAAAATCAATTCTAAGTACACTGCCATAACGTTTCATTTTTTTTGTAATATAGGAGAAACCTGAAATCATCTCCTGAAATTTTGCAATTTGATAGCTTAACCTATCATAGGTCTTAGGCTTGTGTTTAACCTGTGTGTTAATGCCACATACCCTTTCTTGCAATGAGGAGCTGCCTGACAACCTTGTTTTGAAGCACTACCATAAGCAGCAGCCTTCTATTCTTTTATCAGAATAACTGAATCAAAATCTAGAGCAGGAATTAGCTAACCACCACCACAACTCTAACAAGTAAAAAGCTACTCTTTGACATCCTCAGGAACACAGTTTATGCAGAAAACTAAACTTGATAAATAGGTAACCATTTTTGCTACTTACTTTCCCATGCCAGGTGATGGTGCTTGAGAATTGTTATAGGAATTCTGTTTGGGGAAAAATAAATTCGTCACCTGATTTAATGCTTATATTTAACTGGTTATCAACAGTAGCATTAAATAAATGAGACTGTGTGTCTCATTTTTTACTTTTTTAAAGACTTTTTTAAAAAAATTAAATCAAAATAACATGAATCAAAGTGCTAGTTAGAGCAGCTCTTAGCTCTAACCATTTAGATTAGATCCTGTTGACTCTTAGGACAATGTTTAATTTTTTTTCAGCCCATTAATTGGAAGAAATCTGTTATTACTTGCACTGAAAAATTAAAAGTATCTGCTGAAACCCAGATAATTGGACATTTTAGAAGCCTGCTTTCCTCCATTTCAGAACTGAGTAACATTACAGAAGAATCATAGCTGGTTTTCTCATCTTCAGTATGTTGATTCAAATAATTCAAAGAAGGTCTATTGGTCTCATTTCCATGAAAGTACTTTTAACTGAGTTATAGAGAAATTTAGAGAAATTCATAAAAAGAAATCTGGACAGCCCATTGAAAACAAGAAAAATTCAGAAAGACCAGTTTGGTTCTGAATTAGCAGTTGGCTCTTGATGCCAGCTTTTGCTTAGGTTGGACAGCTGCATGCAATGTACCCCCAGACACTGAATTCCCTTAGGCTTAAACATGAAAGCAAAGGTTAAGCTTTGCTATACTTACAGCAAGAAAAGTGTTTTTAATTACCCTTTAAGCCTACTAAGTTATTCATTTATTAGGTTAGACAAAAGCTAGATCAAATAATGAGTGGAGAGTCATTGTGCTAGGACCAGCCAGGTTACAACATTACAGTCAAGCTGCCTCCTCTCAGCTTTAAACTACCCAACTTGAGTAAACTTTCAAGGTCCCACATGAAAATGGGGTTTGTACCAGAAGTTTGGTGCAGCGGTACAAAAACTGGATAAAGGAATTTTGAGTGATGTGAAGTTTCAACTTTAAAAACTTTTGATCTTAAAAGAAAATACGTATGCAGTTACCTTCAGATGTTCAGTCAAAGTTTTAGAATATTTCAATGCACTTTCCTTCTTCAACTTGAAAAGCCTTAGGTATAGAAGAGATTGGCACCGAAGACTGACCAAAAATAGAGGAGCAAAACATATATAACTAAGTGAAGGATAACACTACTCAGACAAGTTCAAGAAGCTAGTAGTTGTGTGTTTAAAGCTTTATCTCCCAACTCTGAAAATCCAACACTTTAGTTAAAACCTTTCCAAAAATCTTTAACAATCTTTAACTTGCCAAGCAATTAAGTATGTAGCTTTGTGCCTTACTATCACCACCCCAATTTGCTGGTATAACTAGTCCCCCTCTGAATTCAGGAGACAAAGGAGACCAGGAGGTCAGAACACCTTCTAGCCACTTTAATTAGCAAGCTTGTTGCATCAACAACGCAACAAGGAAGTCATATTCTAAAATAAAGGCACTAATTGACATAATATTAGAAAAAAATGACAAAGTGAAAAATTAAATAATCTTCTTAACAGTTCAAAGACTTGTCCCAAGTTATCACCATCTCCTCCTTCCCACTTCACAGTGGCCAGATATATAGCATTAATGTTCTTTACACACAACTAAAAGGAAAACTCACATATTTGATTCAATGTAATACAACATTTAACTGAGACCATCTAATCAGCACATTGCATGTATACCAGCACACACATACCAGAGCACTGCTAGCCTTTTATCTGCGGCTGTAGCATCTGGTGCCAAGTAATTCTTCAATTTCATAGTGTATCTACAAGCAAAGACATCACGTAAACAAAAACTAAAGCACTACATTAGCTTTTTTTTTTTTTTTTTTTTTTTTTTAAATCACCATCACACACATAGAAGTTCTTATACATTTCTAGGTTGGAAGGTTTTCCATTTCAGGAATTTTTCTCAGGTCCAAACAAAACGCTCAGGAGATAATTGGAATAATTTTGCTTTTTAGAAAGACCTCAAGAACCCCAGATGAAAGAATCTCAAACTTTGTGAAAATGCTTTAAACCTTCACAGCTGAAACGAGATGGTGAACGAACCAGTTTTACTCATGAATAATGGAGAGATTTCAGAGGTTGGTGCATAGATATACAGAAGTTGGTGTGCAGATAGAGTAAAACCTAGCTTTCATTTCCTAAAATCTTTCTAAAGACTTGAGTTTTTGTACATGCTTTACAACACTTACTTGATTAATTCCACAGTTTCTGAATACATAGGGAACGGGGACTTGGATTCCTGAGCATTTTTCTCCAATGCATTCCCACACTCAATGAACGACACTACAGCATCTAGGTAGTACACAGCTTTCTCAAACCTGTCAGACTGAGAAGGAAAAAAAAAATGTAAGAACAAAAAGTAGAAAGAAATACAACGAAGTTCCAGGAGGAAAGGACAGCCAAATGACAAATTCTGTAAACAACATCCAGTATAATGTTCAACTATTGGATAAATAGTGGAGATCTACTTACCAATGCATCTGCATTATGTTTTAACTTCTTTGCTTCTTGTAAATAATGATCAGCTGAGTAAGTTCTGCAACAAAAGACACAAATTCATGGACTTGGCACCACTCATATTGCATTTCATTTTATGACTTAGGTTTCCTAATTTTTGTTTTAAATTTCTCTTTGTACCTCAAGTTACAGGAGCTAAAGTGTTATTAAACTTGTCTAGTAGATTTAGTTTTCTTGTTTCAGGAAAATAAAAGGAATATTTCAAGTAAGTTGATAAAGATTTGGGTAAATTTATTGCATTTGGCTGTCAAGCAAACCAAATAATTTACCAACAGGAAGAGAGGAAAGAAAAACAAGCAATTTGAGAACAAATTTCAGTGCCTCCAGGCTTGGCATTAATGTGGATGTAAAATATTTTAAAACAATAGTAATAAAATAACTGAGATTCATTCAAATGTTAAGTGCTAATGTTTAGCCACCCAAGACAATCAACAGTGACTCTCATGGCTTGCTTCGTAGTGAGTATTTACAAAACTATAATTACATATTTCAATATACTAATGCAATACCTACAAGTTCATTCAGTGAAGTTCAAATTAATTTCTGGCATCCATCCTATTTTACTAGGCTAAGAATTAAAGATACTAGAAATCAGCATTTTTAGCAGTTAATTGCCTTCAAAACACTTTATTCTTGCTCTCAAAATTTATCAGATAAAATTATACACTTGTAGGTATATACTTAGAATTATAAAATTCTGATTACAGTAAAGTTTGAATTAACTGGTAAAAGTGAAAACTGACGTCTATACAAGACAGCAAAATACCTGCATTATATATCTATGTTCTTTTCAAGACATTTTCTTTGACAGTGCACAACTGAATCGCATACGAGTTAGAAATTTCAAGAGCAGATCCTCCTCTCTGTGTTGCATGGCAGCAGCTATTGGCTGCAGAAGCATGCTTTGCTCCAGAGCAGAGGCTCACAGCTCGCTGCAGTGCCCTTGCAGGGGGACACGGGGCCATCAGCAACTCAAACATCAGAGTAAACCCTGTCTATTCCCCATCTCTCCATGCCCCACAGGGACTAACAAGGTGAGGGCAGCTCTTCGCTGCTTGCCAAGCGAGTGACACATGGAACAGTCAGACATGGCTACAGGAACAGTGCGCTTGTGCAGAGTGTAAGGTTGTGCTTAGCACCTTATGAGAGAGATGGACAACTCTCGCTCATGCAGACATGGCTGCACTCTGGGATTAAAGATCCCATGAAGAGAAAGACCCAAGTGAGGTGCGTTCTACTGCTCTCACCTGTCATCAAAAGCAAGCTTTGCTCTTCGTGACTTTGAACTCTCCGTTGATGGGGTAGACACAGGAGGACAGCTTGATGAATTGTTCAGAATCTTCTCCTGAAAGGAAAATTATTGCTAAATAACAAAGAATAGTTAAGCCTTTTTTTTTTTTGGTTTTCAGAAAAAGTATTTGATGCATAAGTTTCTCCTTGGCATCACCCATCACACGCAGTAAGGTCAGTTCTGCAGCTCCTGAGCTGCCATTCCCTGCAGACAACGCTGTAGCCTCCCGAAGCCTTCCACTTCGGTAGTATTCTTGATGCACGCTAGCAGTAAGAGCTACCTGTTGCTTTAACTCTCTCTCAAACCAGCTGTCCTTCCTGGTCATTTTTAGACTCTGCTTTGGAAAGTTTTGTAGACTGCAGATGCCACTAGCGAGGTCTGCAGTTGATGAAACAGCTGCAAAGGGCGATCCTGTCCTGCCCCGCATGCTTGGGACCTTTCCTCCAGAGCACCCAGAGCAAGATGACACTGACCCTTCAGTACTCTTTGCAGTCACAAAGACAAAGGAGAAATCCATCCAAGTTACACAGATTATGCTCCAACTACTGGCTATACAATAGAAAATGTTTATCTTAGGTGTTTGATAACACACTTCAAACTGTCAGGTGTCCTCCTAGGCTAACTTCTGTCCAGTAATACATGTTCACATACTGATGAAAAGGCACAAAGGCGCAGCATTACCAATTGGTGACCTAAGAACACCAGCCCTATAATATTTTTAAAACCATCATCTAAATATCTTCCTAAGGTATATTTCTCAAAAAAGTTTTCCGTATCATCTTTATAACAGTGTTTTCTCCCCTCCACCCACAAAGAACTCCCCAGGATCCCAAGCTGGCATCTTTCTGAGGTTCCTGGTCCCAGCATGTCACACTTGGCTGGTTCACGTAAGCATTCGGTAGGGTTAAGCATTAATATTCCACAAGCTCCAAATGTATTGACTTCTATGTACTTACTCACTAGGACATGAAGAAACATACACCAAAAACTAATCACACTTCAACTTGAACTGCAAATTATTGTTTAGATCACACTGAGCACCTTAAACTGCAAATCAAAAAAGAACAAGCATAAAGCATTTACAGAATAAACCTTTTACCTTGGCTTCTTTAGCACTGCTTGAACCCTTCCCCTCTGTCTTCTTTTGTTTAGAAGAGGAGCTGCTTTTACTACCAGTGCTACTCTCCTTATTAACGTTGCTGCTAGACTTCAAGGATGACGACTGACTGATCGTCCTCTTCCGGGACCCGTGTTCTTGCTTGGCATCTTTCTGAAGGACCGGGGCAGCAGGAGAAGGCAGTAAATCCTTTTCTTTAACAACACTTGGCTTTGAAGACCTGGACAAAATGAATATATATATTTTTTAAATACACCAAAATAATAAGCAAGGTTTTGTCAGACCCTGCAGACCAGATTTGGAGGAAGAGAAAAATAACCATTGCAGTCTTAATGACTACATTTTTACAAAGCCAGATTAATTTTATTTGTTCTGACCTCAAAACACAGTAGAACATTTTTAACCATAAAACCACATGCCTGTAAAAAGTTCTTTTAATAAAAAAAAAAAAGCCACAAGACTAAAGAGAGCATAAGAAACTAAGGCCAATGTTAGCACCATCCTGACTATTGCAGACTCGTCAGCCTGACAGCTCTGAAGAAAGCTGGTGCAGATAAGTGTTCTCTGGAACCCAGGGAATTGGAAAACTGCCTCAACAGCCTTCTAGTACACTCTTCCTGTGACTGCTGCGTTTGCTATTGCTGGCTTCCCACCTGAAGACAGAGCGTTTTTCAGACAAATGCACTCAACCAATCAAGCAAATATCAGGAAAAAGAAAAATCAGAAACAAGCTAGAAAGCCTTCCGTTTGTTTGACATCTATTTTCTGAACTGTAAAACTGAACTCTGCGGGTGGGGAGCTGGACATCCACACTGAGCCCCCAACACTGAAAGCATAGCCAAGACTCCTGAAGATACTCACTCCCTACTGCTGGAAGTCTTGTGCCCTGATGAAGCTTTTTCTTCCAGTTTCGTTTTCTTGCTTTCACTGGCTCGGCTTTCATCGTCGTTCTGAATAAAACAAGCAAGAAATACATAAAGGCAAACTCTTACAGCTTCACTGAGCGGGGTCATGTTTAACATTTAACAGAAGTAATTTGGCAGGCTTTTGCAGTGCAGAGAATAACACCCTTCCACACCACAAAAACATTCCCCAAAGCACCTAGTCCATACAGATACTTCTTCAACAGACCCTGATCTCCGAACATAAGGAAGAACTAGGCATGGCTTATAAACTGCCAACCAGCCTCAGAGCGGGGGCAAGCTGGTTGCTCATATTAAAACTACCACTATCGGATACCAAAAAAAAATTAGCCCAAGGCTTCAGTATGAAATCAGGAGACAAAATTTATGTTGGGAAGCCCCACAGCACTAGGGTCTTATGAAGCTAAAGGAGGTAAAAAAAAAAAAAAAAAAAAAAAAAAAAAAAAAAACACCTGCAAGGCTAAAAAGATAAGTTCAGAAAAGACCAGATTGTCAACACAAATTTCAGTCTAAAGTCAAAGTGTTTTGAAGGAGAATGTCTACACCAATTTCAAAATGCACCAGAAGCAGAAATAAAATAAATTAAATGGAAAAATAGGGCCTCATACTATAAGTCATCTGGTAACATAATCCAGATTCAAAACCAAAATTCACGCCATAAGTTATCTGGTAGCATAACCCAGACTCAAAACCAGAAGGTTTCACTTTTGTTACACTGATGCTACAGCCCTAGCCCCATTTCTGCCCCAACTCTTCTTCTGTCGCGCTCTCGTGCGAGCGCCTGATGCGTGGCCTCAGGGCCTGATCCCACTGGAATCTGAGCTCTTTTTGGCCAGGTAAGATTCCAGCTGGCTCCACTCCCCCGGCTGGCTTGCACTGCAACAGGGACTAGTGCCAGAGCACGTGAAGGCAGGACAGGGTTTGAGTGCAGGACTTGAGCTGCCCTCCCAGGGCTGCAGGACCTGCACGGCCTCAGCCGCAGGGCCAGCACCGCCACGGGCTCAGCCCTTCCCTTCTCCTCTTCCCTCCAAAAAAAACCCCACTCATCCCTCCCATAACAGCACAGGAATGATCATTCTGGTCTACATGAAACAGCTCATCTGAAACATCTCCCACACTGCTCAGGGAAGTCGCTGCGCTGAGGCATGATCTGGGTTCCTGGGCAAACACAATCCGCTCCAGCTGCAATTCACTAGTGGGACTGAGATAATGCACTTTGTTTTTTTTTTTCCCCACTATAAATCTGATCACCTGTTTGTGTTTCCTTTTGCCTTTTGTAGAGTTTTTGTCAGATGGCTGCTTCTGAGATTCTCTTGTG